GATATACTTTTAAACAGAAGCTGTCAAACATTGTAAGATCCTTATGGTGAAACCAAGTTTCCGCCTATCTAATACAATATAAAGCATGACTTTGAAGTACCTCAATTGCATTTTTTTCAGAATGTAAATATGTAAATTGAAATATATGACTTTGTGCATTGCTCTCTTGCCATGAAATTAAAGAATTCGATATGAGGGAGTATGTGGATATTCCACTAGAAGTCAGGTAAAACTTTACTGTTGTTAAAATCTTGTAAATGGTTTTAGTTTGTTCGATCCGCTGCTCTGTCTTATTATGTAATTAATATTATTATAATTATAAAAGAAAATTATAAAATTTGGCTTATGGGTCTTCCGACAACGATGTATACACGTACATAAGTGTGCTCAACAACCACATGCCTGAAATTGTTAAATACTCGAGTAGGCCAAGCAGCGCTTAAACAACTCCGAGTGTCAGCTGCAAGACTTTCTTGCAGATTTTTGAGATTCTACTCACAGAATGTGCTGTCACAACCCCAACATTGCAGTGTCTATGTCGAGGAAGAGTTTGTACAGCATGAGCTACGTTGAAAATAAAGCAGATATTTTCTTCCACCATATTTTCAGTGACTTATATCATACTTTTTACTTTTAATTGTTTCACTGTTAAGAGGAGTATAACTTTTTCTGGCATGTGACATACTTACACGAAAACTCATTGCGCTTTGAATTATACGTATTTATTATATACGATTTTTTACTTGAGCGTCTAACAGTCCATGTAAATTTATTCGTTGCACCAGCAATTAGAAGACAGCGACTCGGAAAGCAGCCTCAGAGCTCGTAGAAGTGATTTTAAGCTTACACATCGGCCAAAAAAAGAGCAGTTAGGCGTCGGGCATGATTACTTTATGACAAGCCGAAATAAAACATATTTATAATGAACACACACATACTCATACTGAGTTAAAACGCACAGCGTCGTTATTTTTGTGGGTAATATGTCGATGAGTCCCAGCTATTGCAGCAATTCGAGGTCCAACCGACTTTAGTCTCAAAGGCGAGGCAAAGGAAGGTAGTGTACGACAGTCGGCAGTGTATTTGTGTGCAGACGAATGTACGTGTCGGCTAAGTGTGCCGCCACCTTATTTCAGCTTCGCTTACAGCTCCGCCGACACAACAAGTTGACGAACTTTTTTCGATTTATTTTTTATTTCGCCTCACATTTTGAGCACTCAATGTTTTCTCTTTCCTAACGGCGGCGATTGTGTGTTAGCTGCCAGCAGTCAAAGTGTATCGAGATTAAGTTAGCATTTTAACAAGACAACAGCAATAACAACAACAACAACGATGACGGCGATCGTGTGATGACGACAGCGGATGTGCACCGTTGTCAAAATAATACAACAAATACGCCTGCAAATACGAGTAGTGCAACGACTCCCCTTTCATTGTACAGTAAAATACGATTCGTAGCACCTCGAGCTTTCACTAATTGAAAAATAACAAAGAAAATATGCACAGATGTCGGAAAGAAATACGATATCATTCAGAAACTTACGAGTGTGTTGTACAATAGATGCCGAACAAGTCTGAACTAACGGTCTATTGTATGATAAATTATTAGAATGTAAGCCTAGTATTGTTATAAAAACGCTTAACTTGTTTCTTATAAATATAAAAAATTGGGAGGATGACCTAACGCGTTTTACTCTAATTTACCTACATCAACAACACAACGAACTGGAATCATATAGCATTGACAAACGGCAGATTAATGTAGTTAATCCGGATTAACGCAGGACTTAGTGACAATAACTCCGTTACTAACACCCATTTAATCCTCAAAATTGTAGAGAGTTAGCTGCATTTTCGTTGGCAATTTTAAGGTACTGTTAAGGGAAAAAAGAGTCAGTGACAGCTGTTTTTCAAATTTTCAATAATAAAATGAGATATGTTGCAATTTTAATAATAATGATATGTTTTTATAATAAAATATGGTTTTGTAAAAATTGGTCGGTTAACAACCGAAATGTTTATCTTCTAGTCATTTTTATTGCAAATATTATAAAAATTGCAACCAGCTGTTTAAGAGAGTTTCAAACTCACATAGCTGCCGTCTATCACTTACAAATTTGGATCTGATTAAGTGCGTAGTTAATCCACGTTAACGCTGTCATCTGTCAAGGCTAATACTCTTCTATGGTAAAGGGGTCAGTAAATCGGATAGACTATAAAATGAAATCAAGTAAGAAAAAATTAAATTCGCAACATACACAGATCAAAGCCGAGAAAACTTCTTTTCGAATTTCAATATTATATCTGACAGGATGACCAATATTTTCGGTAAAAAGTGTGCAATTATAACTGACATTCATATATTCAATATCTGAAGTGGGTGTTCGCACTGTAATGGGGGACGTTGTGCGCTCAGTTTGGAACACTCGCGTAGAAACCACTCCCAATGAAAAAGAAACAATAACCTCTTATGAGAGACTCCTCTTTTGATGAAGACGATAACAAATGTAATAAGTATGTGATTTAAGGACATGCACCTGGAATGTCCGGGCCCTGAATTGGCAAGGTGCCGCTGCCTAGCTATTTGATGTCCTGTTAAAAATAAAGGCGACATCACAAGACGGAAATAAGTAGTTGATTGTGACATTTACTACAACCAACTAAAGAAGCGCAAGTTCGGTGTGTGATTTGTGGTGGGAGAAACACTCAGTCGTTGAGTCCTGTCTTTCACTTCAGTGAATCTAGCCACAGCCTGCATCAGAGCAACATTTTTCAATATAACACTGATTTCCGTCCACGCCCCGACAAAAGAGAAGAACGATACTACCAGATGCCACTTATGAACGGTTGCCCCTTCCACGGACACAACGTTAGGTCAATTCAACCTCCATGATGAAACTTCTCCTAATGGATGGAAGCTGATCGGCTTTGTAAGGGCTCTAAATACACTCGACTTGAGCTCCTCTCATCAGCAGCTCGGTATGTAGAACTATCTGACGACATGTCAAGCAAATCGGAGAACATCATAATTAATATAACGGGATAAAACTTTGCATGAAAACTGTCCTTAGTGTATGCCACCTTATAACATACACATATATATATGTATGTAAATATATATTTATTTATATATATATGTATATATATCTAGGTATCATATATAGTTTAGRCATGTTTCATTTGTATCTGATAAATACTTGAACACAGACCATGTTCACACCAAAAAGGCGAATGAAATAGATAATTAAACAGTAATTCGATCAACACACAAATATATTTGGCAACTTAATGCTCTTTAAGTCAATAAACTGAGGATACTGAATGTACAACGGGTTTTCTTAAATGAAAACGCGTCTGTTTAAGACCACTCTTTGTGTAAACAAAATGTACTTGTAGTGCGTGTAACTTGTTAGCTTAAGAGATATGAGGCTAACAAGCAGTTCCTTCGGATTTCATTAAAATACAACATTTGTGCATGACCAAAAGCGTTTTACGCACAAAGCTGCTGAGAGCATAATAAAGTACATGCATACCTACATACATATACTAAAACATATAATTGAAGCATTTATCTACTAGTATGTGCAAATAAATGTGTTTACAATATTTTGGAATGCGCTTTTTTGGACTTGTATATTGCATTTCATAGTAATTGGAGTAATACTTGTGCGCATGCGCAACTTTCAATTTCATTCACTATCAAAACCATATACTTATTTGGCCAATTCTGACTGCGAACAATACAAGAGGTTGTTGTGAATATGTATTATTAAAATAATACATACATTCACACGTAACCATAGATGTGATATTGATTATCAGTATTTGAGCAACATTGAACAACTCACAAGTGTTCATAGGCATATATGTATGTACAGGTGTAGACAATCTAGGTATAATTCATGTATTTCTATATACACAAATATAAATTGAACTAGGAATGAACTGTAGGAGACCCTAACTAACTCATGGATTTAAGCGCTCTGTTCGCCAAAATGTCAAATCAGTATCCATAAATGAATATGTGGGTTTCTATGCGCATGTGCGCAAGTTCATTTAGATGAGTTATTGATTTCGTGTGAAATTTATGTTCAGTTGCGACAGAGCATGAGTTTTTGATACAATGACTCTGTCACTGCGTTGCACAAAGTTCAGTCATGAATTAGTGCTCACTTTTTGGAATAATTTAAAGTTTATGTTTGATAACCTGTCTTGAGATTCCAATTTGGCGTAAGAAATTTACAATTTTTTGGTAAGTACAAATAGTAGACCTACACATAGAGTATTTGAAAAATTTAATCAACGCGGAACCGACAATTTTTAAATAGTACAAACAACTTTACCGATTTTAACCAACTTTGACTTCATAACGACAAATTACGAAAGTTGAACAAAGTTTCACAAACCTTCCATATAACCCATAATAATAGAATTCCACATACTCAATCGGCTTATATAATAGGGGAAGGTGGGGAATGTTGGGCACATTGGGAATCCCGGGCCAGCGCGATATTTTTTTCCCTAGTATAGGTTGACAGCTGCAACCAACTGTCTCGTTTCATACTAAGCTCAGTTTCTATATAGCGCTCGAGCTGTGAACACGTGTTATAACCTCTCTGCGACAACAAAAAGAAATTCGACACTCCGAAAGTTTTTTTTCAACTCTGTGTACAGTTCATTTTTTTTACATTTTCCAATAAATTCATCCAGGTAAATATTTTTATAATATTAGTTGAGCCTTTAGCCTTCGACAMACAAAAGAAATTTTGCACGAATATACATTGTGTTCATTATCCACCGCCATTTTGCAAATATGAGCGTTTGGGGAATCTCGGGGCACTTATTACGGGGAATGTCGGGCCACATAGTTTTTTACATTTGACATGCTAAYTTCATATATTTGACGTGTATAAGTGATTTTTCGTGCAGAATTTCAACAACACAACAGTTTTTCAACATTTCCTGATAGTTTCGTGCTCCGAAAAATTTTTTTAGTCATTATGCCGCGGTACTATCCCARACWARAGAAAATTGTTGATTTCGACAACATTTTGGAGGCGATCAAGTCGGTGAAAATACATCACAACAGCGTTCGAAAATCTGCGACGGCACACAAAATTCCGAGGACCAACTTGATGCGTTATATTGCAGCATTTGATGGTGCGAGCATCGACGTTACTACTGCCAATGCCGATGTAATGAAGAATTTGCTGGCTGAAAGCACGACGATGGGCACAGAAACAGTGAGTTCTGCTGGTTTCTTTCTTTTTCTTTCATCGAATAATAAATAATTTTTTTTTTTTATCAACTACATCAACTATGGAATTAGTTTGATGGAGCTTCGTAAGCTCGCGTATGAATTTGCTCGGAAAGTTGGCGCGTCGTATCCGGATCCATGGAACGACAATGAACAGGCGAGTAAGGATTGGCAGTTGGCGTTCATGAAACGCCACAAAAATTTGTCACTGCGAACACCAGAGCAAGTAAGCCAGAGCCGTGCGAAGCGATTCAACAAAGAGAATGTCGATGCATTCTTTGCCAACCTTTCATCCATTCTCGGTAAGACGCCGTTTGAACCTCACCGAATATGGAACATGGATGAAACCGGGTGCCCGACCGTGCCAACCAGACCTATCAAAACCATCGCGCGCAAAGGACAAAAGCAGGTCGGCTCATCAACATCTGCCGAAAAAGGCACCAATGTGTCTTTGGCTTTGGCCGTCAGCGCTAGTGGCCAGTCTATACCGCCATTCTTCCTCTTTCCCCGAGTCAACATGAAAGAGATTTTTATGACTCATGCGAGTCATGGCGCTGTTGCGGTGTTGCGAACGGTTCTGGTTACATGAACTCTGACGTATTCCCTCAATTCATGCCTAATTTCATCAAGCACACCGGTGCTAATGCCGATTCGCCAACCATGTTTCTGCTGGACAACCAC